GTGCAGCCAATCCTCTTGCGACCCCTGATTAAGTGGGGGAAGGAGTGTACTAAGGTAGTTGGGCTACTTAATCTGTAAGATTACAATACAATATGCTTATATGCCTGCAGATTATAAGTCCTTACCCAGGCTCTGCATCCGATAAAATCAAGGTCCCTGAGACTAGCTCATGTATCCTCATTTGATAGTCGTTCATACGACTGCTTCGTTGGTCACGGTGTAGTGGCCGCTCTTTGAAAATGTGCAAATGAAGTTCTGCTTGCGCAAGAATGACCGCAGAGGTACTTCAGTGAGGCCCACTATCTTCTGTCAACGCCCTTTGCCACCGAGCAGTGTAATGAGACATCGTCTACTCTCAGCTGCAAAAGCTTATTAACACTCTTTTTGGCTGTGATTTCTTACGGTTGCCGGCAACTGTGCTGGGCCTGACAACCCGTTTAACAGCCGCACAATTAACCCTCCAGGTATGCTTCTGGACGTAATCGTTTCGGCAGGCTGTTGAGTCCCACTAAACTACCATCTCTAAATCAAATCTGTTTCTTGTTTTGTCTCAAGAATCTGCTTAGCTTTCATTATACTGGTTTTCTTACCGTCAACTATGCGGACTGCCTTCTAGGCATTGACAGATTGCACATTAGCAGACTGATGCATAAAGCCAAAGGTGTCAATACCTTCGATCGGATCATAATCTGGCCAACACTTTTCTCCCTCATCACTCATGGATTACGCAACGCTGTACAATCATGATGATTAGGAGTTTGGAGAAATTGGGCTTTGTGCTCTGCCGTCCTAGTCTAGGGGACGGACGAAAACGGATGAATCTATCATTCCGTAGGACAACCGAGAGAATCATTGGCTCCACTCAACAGTGCTGAACTGATCGCATCATCTCGAAAACCATACAATTGTCCTTCCACAAGTCTCCCGTCCGAAAACGCTGCCAACTAGCAGTAAATTCGGCTAGGGTACTCGATGCAACATTGACCTAAGCCCAGGGTTCTCTTTCTTAGAGGCTAATACTTAGTTGGGGTTGAGTGCATGGTTCGAGGAATTTAGCAGAGCTGTCCTTGAAACTGCGAATTATTCTGGTCTTTAAAAAATAATTGGATCTGACTGTTTGAAAAACAGCCATCCAATTGGAGATCAACCAACATTTGGATCCTGTTTTTTAAGAATTTCTAGCCATTAAACAGTTAATAGCATTTTTCGAGTCTGGTGACTTATGTCGCTATCGGCATAAAAAGAACAGTCGTGGAAAGGCCTTCCGTGAATGCGCACTAGGGCAGACAGTATGATTCACAGCGGTGCCGAGACGGAAGCCTTTTCTCCTTAAGCATGCGAATTGTAGAGCTAAATTAAAGCGCAAGGTGCCTCCAAGCAATACTTTAGTGTAATCTATGCATGCTAACGATTAACTGCGTTCAAAACGCATTTACATTCATTTTTTATACACAGTTTTCTCGCTGCGTACAATAGGAAGTAGTAAAAAAATGTGCAGCCAAACGAATTCGGGTAGGGTTTCCAAGTTGGGCCTTCGAAATGTCCTTATGTATTATAGCCACCTACTTAAATGTTTTAAGTAGGTTGAATTACCCATGTAGAATTGGTATTCTATAATAAACCAGATGCTTAAGGCCGGCCTGGTTCCTACTTGTTAACTTGAGTATACGCGTGGTGCTTTAAGCGATAACTTTATCGGTAAGTCGAGTACGGTTCTATAATTGGAGATTAGGAAAAACATAAAT